AAAAAAAAAAATAAAATAAAATAAAAAAATAAAAATAAAATCAATTAGCTGCTAGAGGATATAATTCATGCTAATTAATTTGCTTCTTAATCAACCAATTGTTAAATTCAATGTACTGTTGTGCAGAAAATATACCTAATATGGAAAAAGATTAACACGTACGCCTAATTGAGGTTCCATCATGAAATCCACAGGTGATAGGATGAGCTAAACTATAAAATATACACTTCTTAGTCGTCACACATCGTCTATATATGAAAAATAAGTCTAACTTATAAGTCTAGTGGGTTATTCCTCCTACCACTAATTGGTTTTAGAATAGAACCCTACTAAAGTCCATCTAGACTCACCCTGCTTTAGTGCGCTTCACGTCCCACGTCTGTGGGTTCGCACCGGTCAACCCCGTTTATTTCATAAACTCACAAGTGAGTGAGACATTTCATTACTAATACTATTGGTTGGGCACCGTATAATAGAGAAATTATAAAAGACTTTTCTAATGTGGAAATTTATTATTTGTCCATATCTATTGGAGAAAATTGCAATTGTAGTCCAGTAATTTAGGTTGTTTCCTATTTTAGTCCACTAACTTAGGCCGATCCAAATTTGGTCCAAAAACTCCCAAAAGTTAGTTAAATCAGCCCAATTGGACTAAAATTGGACTAAAATTGACCAATCAATTGAACTGAAATTGGACTGATTTAACTAACATTTGAGAGTTTTTGGACCAAATTTGTACCGGCCTAAGTTAGTGGACTAAAATGGGAAACAGCCTAAATTTTTGGACTACCTTTTCGAAATTTTTGGACCAAATTTGGATCGGCCTAAGTTAGTAGACTAAAATGGAAAACAGCCTAATTAAGTTACTGGACTAAAATTACAATTTTCTCTATCTATTGCTTGGATCGGATAGATGAAGAGAAAATTAAGAAGAAAGACTTTTCAAATTTTTACAATTCAAACTTGTTACTAGAGGCTGCCACTCCAAATTCATGTACATGTGGAATTAAATAAAATCACAAATCCCACCAAAAAAAAATTAGAATAAAAATAAACCAAAACCAAAATTTCCTATCATCCCACACACCTATAAAAACCCTAACCCTATTGCACTAATTTTTGCACCAACTTTTTGCTACCAATTAATCAAAAATGAAATTCCACATCAACAACTTCTCCTTTTCCCTTCTCTTCATTTCCCTAGTTACAATGTCATTACAACATTCGTGCTCGGGTCAAAACTCGCCGCAGGACTTTCTCGACGCGCACAACAATGCGCGCCGGCAGGTCGGGGTGGGCCCCATGACGTGGGACCCAGCCGTGGCCAGCTTCGCCCAGAACTACGTCAACAGTAGGCTCAGAGACTGTAACCTCGTCCACTCGACCAACCGGCCGTACGGCGAGAACCTGGCGGCAGGCTCGGGCGACTTCACGGGTCGGGCGGCCGTGGACTTGTGGGTTAGGGAGAGGCAGTTCTATAACTACGGTTCCAACTCGTGTGTCGGGGGAGAGTGCCTCCACTACACTCAGGTGGTGTGGCGGAACTCGGTCCGACTAGGGTGCGCGAGGGCTCGGTGCAACAACGGGTGGTGGTTTGTTTCGTGCAACTACGCACCACCAGGCAACTATGTGGGCCAGCGCCCTTACTAATCGTTGCTCGTCTTAGCTCTCCATGGTGTTTTGTATTTGAATAGTTTTATATATATGCATGGGCATGGGGATTAATTTGAGGCTCTATTATTATGTGATATATATATATGAATAATGTTTGGAATAAATAAGGTCCTTGTACGAGGCCAAATATATAATAAATGGAGAGTGTTTGGAATGCCATTTTGGTGAAGTTTGCTCGTATTTTGCGAATTTGCAGCCATGTCTACAATTCATTCAATAAATTTTTGAAGCGGGGGACGATGAACAATAACAATGGATAAACTATTTCGAATAGTATATTTTTTATTATGTTTTATTGGTACTATTTATTCGTACATATATAAATGAATGATTGAATGTGAGTGTGCGTTTAAATAGAAAGAAGTTTAGTGGAAAGATGTTTCATGAAATAAATCATTTGAACGTGTGGAAAAAATCGTATTCTTTTACGGTGAATATTATTGGGGTTTGTACAGTGAAAGTTGAGTATATATTGTGAACGGCAAAATTTTATTTTTAGTCCATTATATTGGTCATTTTCCAGAAATGGTCCACTAATTTGGCAGACATCAAACTTGATACAATAAGTTGTAAAATTCCTCAATTTTAGTCCATAAGCTTACGTGGCGTTTTATCGGGCGAATACGTGGACAAGTTTGATGTCTGCCACGTAGGCTCGTTATCCATCCCGAGTGATTAATGAACCAAAAATGATGAATTTTACAACTTATTGTATCAAGTTTGATGTCCGCCAAATTAGTGGACCATTTCTGAAAAATGACCAATATAATGGACCGAAAATGAAATTTTACCTATTGTGAACGAAGGGATGGTAATTTAGCAGTCAATAAGTTAATCTCATCTTTCGTTTTTACACCAGAAAATTTCAAAAGGTAATACTCTAAATCTATTTATAAGAAACCTGATATACATAATGGTGGGGACGTGAAAGTCTCTTGGTAAAAGATAAATAAATAAGTCTGGGGAATTAACAAAACTCGGGAAGGTTAAAATAAGAAAATAACAATATAAGATAGTGTATTAAGAAAAAAAAATCTTGTGAAAGGCAGCCTACTCAGTAGACGGGTCGATCTATCATATTTTATGAAAAAATTTCATACTTATATTATCTAATGTCATACTTATGTTAATAATTTATTTTACATTACGATATTTTTAATGATAGTATATTAATTTGTGAAAAGAGTACCAGCCTAGCTTATCGTTAAGCAGATCAACCTGTCATATTAGCTTTTTTTCATCTTCTTCTTTTCTATTCTTTTCTTTTTTTTTTTTCTTTTTAAATTATAAAGTTTGAGAATGGGGGAATTAAATTATAGAGGAGACATATGCAATTAACTTCTCCTAATAAACAAAATTCCTACACTTAAGCAACAGTCTTACAGTTACACCCTTCTTTTAGTAAAGGCACAAACAAAAGTATATCTCATTTTTAGTCAAATAACTCCAACATTTGGGACAAAGGGGGATGTTTAATTGACTTTTGGGTTGCTTATAATTGCTGAATTAGATCAAACTACAATCTTTTCACATGCTATTTGCTAAATTTTAGGCCATGAAGCTACCCACAATCCATAATAATCCCTATAAAATAACCCATAGACAAAATCCTTCCAATTATCAACTCAAATCAAAATCTCACAAAACTCTAATCAAATTTTGTAGTAATTATGGCATGGCATTGTATACCCCTTTCCTCTTTTATAATTTTATCGCTCCTAGTTCTCACCACTACCGCTCAGAACTCGGCCCAGGACTATGTGAACGCCCACAACACCCCTCGTGGACAGGTGGGTGTGGGCCCACTGACGTGGGACCCGACTCTGGCTAGCTACGCTCAGAGCTACGCCAATAAGAGAATTGCCGATTGTGCCCTGGTACATTCCAATGGGCCCTATGGCGAGAACCTGGCCAAGGGCAGCAGTAGCACTTTCTCGGGTTTGTCTGCAGTGAATATGTGGGTTGCCGAAAAACAGTGTTACGATTACAACTCGAACTCGTGTATGGGCGGACAACAGTGCCTCCACTACACTCAGGTCGTGTGGCGTGAGTCAACTCGCGTGGGGTGTGCTCGGGTGAAGTGCAACAACGGGTGGTACTATGTCGTCTGCAGTTACGACCCCCCGGGCAATTGGGAGGGGGAATGGCCTTATTAATTTGTGGGTGACAAATTTTTTGTTATAATACTTTGATTAAGCTAAGGTAAATTGTACGATCACATGTGGGCTACTGGTTATATTGATGTGATGGTATAATAATTAAATAAGAATGTGATGGTCATTGTACTAAGTGAGAATGTTGTATGGTTTCTTGTGTGTAACCAGCGTTATATATTGTGTTAAAGCAATAAAAAAACTATTCTGATTTGACGGTTTTGTTATGAAGTCAACAGTTGGCTCTATAGTGGAGCCAACCTTCTATATACAACAAGCAAACCTACCATATTAATAAAATTATATCGATGTGATTGTATGCTAATTAATACTAATTAAGTGAGAATGTTGTACGCTTTCTTGTGATATATTGGGTCAAAATCATATTTTGAACGGGTCCATTATTGCCCGGTCCCAAGAAGCCAACCGGGCATGTTCTGACCTTAGGTCGACCAGATGGATTTGCTATGCGGATCACTTGGGTGGCAGCTTGTGGAGACATGCATCCGCTCACCGTTTGTGGCGAATGAACTTGCTAGGCGGGCCGAGCAAAGGTGTATTGCAATCTCTATATTTATGGTGGTGTCATAGTAAATCTAATCGATTGTGATTTGATTTTATAAAAAAAAAAATATAGATTTTTGAGAAAATTAAATATAATTGAGTTCATCAATGTATGAGGATATTATAATTTAAATGTACGGAATCAAATGCCATTTTGTATTTTTGTAATTTATTGAGTTAAAATAAAAATAAAATCAAATAGCCAGTTGATAATTGGTCAACAATATATGGTCGAAGATATATTTGAAGTTAATCAAGATAAATTAATTAGTAACTATTAGATATCATATTGTTCATACGCTAAATTGTTGTAATTAAAATGAAAATAATTGTGAACACGATGGACTTTTTTTTTTTTAAAAAAAATAATAATAATAATACCTTAGAAGGGTGAGAGATTTTCGCTTTGTTTGGTAATCAACGTTTAGCGTTGGCGTACTCTTTTAATTGTTTTGACCAGGAGATGTATTAGATGTTCGTAAAAGACATTTATTGGTATAATAGGTGTTTGGTATTAATTGTTAGTAAATTACGTGCAAGTAAATCTATATCTTAATTTTTTATATATATAGATTTTGAATGAACAATTAATTTAACATAATTGTACAAACAAAATTTTGTGATGCTCATTTTTTTTTTAATTAAGGTTCATTTTAATTTATGAAAAAAAAATGTAAATAATTATTGAACGAAATAATAATATAAATGAAATACATATTTAGATATTTTATATATATACACACATATTATCAATTGGTTTAGACATTTGAATGTTTTAAATAACTAATACAATATTTATATATAATTTATTATTAAAACTATTTTATATATTAAAAATATTAATATAATAAATATCGATTCAACCATGGTTCAACCAGTGAATGATGGAAACAAATAGCTTGTCAAGTTCACCACCTCAGGTACCCCCTCAGTCTGGTCAGCCCCCGACGGGCCACCCTCACCTTCCGCTCACGGCCCCCGGGGCCCCCACGGCCTCGACTTCACCTCGTGGAGTCTCCGGTCAGCCCCCGACGGGCCCCTCGGTGTTGCCATCCTCGACCCCCGGATCTTCTTCAACTCCGGCCCTGGCATATCTGGCTTCGGCAACCACCGGCCCCCGATCTTTCCGAGATGCGATCGTCGGGCCCCCCGCCGGCAAGACAGGACCCCAGAGACTATCACTTGCGTCTTTCCGGGACAAGCAACGGAGGACCATCATACGCTCCAAGGAGGGAAAGTTGACCGACACCTCTCCCTCCTCACCGCTTTGGGCAGATTCACCCAGAGAGACTGGACAGGCAGCACGCCACCCCACCGCCTGGCACCACCTCCGCTGGCGCCTGTCCAGCATCCACGTCCTAGAGTTGTTGTTTAGGTGAAACCCAAGTCGCCTTGGGTTAAGCTAAACACTGATGTAGCATTTGACCGACTCACTGGAGTTGCAGGAGGTGGGGGCCTGATTAGGAACCACAACGGCGCCCTCATTACCGCTTTTCATGCCCCTCTTCGGGCTTCCTCGAGCTATGACGCGGAGGTTTAGGGGCTTCAGATCGGTCTTCAGATGGCTGCTTCGATCTCCTCTCACATTTGGATAGAGTTAGACGTTTATGTTGTCATCACTCTCATGTCATATGGCCATCAAGGCACGTGGTAGATTCAGCACCCCCTCAAGCGTATCAGAGTCACTCTTTGGTCGATTCGTTATCGGATCTCTCACATCTTCAGCGAGGAGAACCGACCTGCTGACTTCCTCGCTGCTGACTTCCTCGCTGGCATCGGGTCCTCCACCCCCCAGAGACGCATTCTCTACCCTGACGAGATCCCTCCCTGTCTCCGCACCCTCATACGGATGGACCAGAAGCATAACCGCTTCTTCATCTTGGCGCATCTGCCACAATGTGATACAGACTTTTTAGCTGGGACTCTCCACGGACCAGGATCTATTATTTTCGCTTTCTCGCTACAGTTGCCACTTTTTCATTGTATTCTTTTTTTTTTTGCTTTTGATTTTGAATTTTTGTTTGACTTGATGTATACCAGACATTGGTACAGCAACCTATACGACCGGGTTCCAAATAACTTCCAATTTCGAAGAGCCGGGTATACGACCCGTTAGCCAGTTTCTACCCGAAGAAAAGACCCAAATTAGGCCCGATTTCAGTCCACAACACTCCCAACAAGTCGCGTTGCTGCAGAAAATTGCAAGAACAGTTCGACATTTATCACTCGATCGGGCAAGAAAATGAGATTCGACCTGTCAAGGCCCTCAATCACCCCACCGAATACAGAAAAAAAAAAAA